GCTCTTCTTTATATATACCTGCTATGAACTAAGCAGTCAGTCACTGGAGAGTATAATAGATTAAATACAGCCCCTGCCCTTAAGTTTGCAGTGTACTAGAAGAGGAAAATATGAAGGATTGTAATAGAGCATGGTAAGGGCTAGCATAAGAACAGATACAGGACATAGGTACATAGGGAAAAATCCATTCTACTTAGATAATTTACAGAAGAGTAGATAAGTGAGACTGGACTTGAAAATGACTTGGAATTTTTCTAGACTGATGGTATAGATGGCATCAAGATAGGCCATGGGCTGGAAGAGCAGGCAGCTTTATGTTGTAGATTATGTGCACATGGAAAATTCAGTGACATTTGAGCTGTGAGATGAATGTCCTATTGGTCCTCCAACATTAGCCCTCAACTCGGCTATTCCTGAGCTCTTCGGCCCCTCTCCCAGAGTCCCGTAGTAACACTTGAAGGTTAAACAGATTTCAGAAGATGGAGGGAGCAAAGAAATCAGAGCATTGGACTCCCCAGTCAGTTGGTTTTTATTCATGTACTTAGATTTTTAATGAATCATAAGTGAACAATTAAACATTTTCCTAAATCATTCTCTTTCCTTGATGTTTTTATTTCCATGACTCCTGGTACTAGACATTTCCTTCTCAAGGGTGCTTGAAACTGAATTCTGCTGGTTTCCAGGAACACTGTTGACAGTCACTGCTGAGAGCCAAGTATTTTCCACTTAGGAAATTACACTTCTGTTTGGTGTTATTGTTTCTGACCACTGTATTACATTGGGGGCATTTCTGAGGAATAGCAAAGGTGGCTTCCTTAAAGCAGTTACTGGAAAAGAAACTGCTGTTACAGTTTGTTTTGTTTGTTTTTAAAAAAATAAATAATGAGGGGGAGGAGGGAGCTGAAGAGATGACTCAGTGGTTAAGAGCACTGGCTGCTCTTGCAGAGGACCCAGGTTATGTTCCCAGCACCTACATGGCAACTAATAACTGTGCATAACACCAATTCCAGGGGATCCAGTACCCTCTTCTGGCCTCCACAGGCATTTCACACATGGTACACTTACATACATGCAGGCAAAACACTCATACACATAAAATATAACTAAATAAAAATTTTAAAGTACATTTTTAAAGGGAGAAAGAAAAATTTCTAAAGTATATTTAAATGGAAACTGACAAAAAGTAAGTAAAAATGAAGAGTGGGTGGAGTATAATTCCCCAATGAAAAATGTATTTTCAGAAATATGAGACTTCTAACAATTTGAATTTTTAATTTTTTTCTAATTTAAGAATAACAGTAAAATACTTAAAGTATAAGCGTATGCCTCAATGAATTCCCACAAAACAAACGTCCATAATTTCCACCCCAGTCGAGTTCCCTCTGCTGAGATCTCAGCAGCCTCCTGTGTGTCCACCCATCTTTCCATTCTCCTGAATGTAACTACTGTCTTGACACCTACCAGCATATTAGATCTGCCTCATTGGGAACTTCCTCCCAGCACTCGAGTTCCCTAGTGTGTATTCTCTTGCATTTGCAGAGTTCCTGTTGTTGCATACAGCTCTAATTCTTCTCATTTTCATTACTCTATACTTTGCAGGTAGGTGAGTACACTTCAGCATATCTATTCTACTATCAGTGGTATTTGAATTCTTTTAAGGAGCTATGAAATTTAATACTGTCCCTGGGAGTAGTATACCCCTTTAATCCCAGCACTTGAGAGGCAGAGACAGGAGGATCTTTGTGAGAACGAGGTCACCCTCATCTACATAGTAAGCTTGGGCTACATGGAGACCATGTCTCAAAAAAAAAACAAAAAAAAAATGTTATTGCACTAGGCATGGTGGAGCACACCTGCCATCTTAGCACTGGAGAGGCAGAGGTGGGACGATCAGGAGTTCAAGGTCTTCCTCAGTGAATTCAAGGCCAACCTGGACTACCTGAAACCCTGCCTCGGAACAAACAAAAAATATTGCTGTCAATAATTTTTCTGCTTGTCTCTCAGGGAACTCTGCATTTCTGTTGGGTTTCTATCTAGAGAGGAACTGCAAAGTTCATGTGTCTAGCCTCAGTAGTTAGTGCCAGAGGGTTTCCAAAGTGACGGTACCAGTTTATGCTCCCACCAGCAATGCATGCATAAAAATTTGTTTCTCCATTTGCTTAACAACACTTGGTATTTTCTGTTGTTTTACTTTTTGACTTTTGTGACTCTTGTTCTGCAGAGATATGTAATCATACTGTATATTTGTGATTTGTGTGTACAAATACACTTACATGTGTTTTATTTTATCTTAAGATAATTTGTCCTTAAAAATAATTTAATTTGGGGCCAGCAAGATAGCTTAGGAAGTAAAGGTGCTTGTGGCCAAGGCTGGAAACCTGAGTTTGATCCCTGGGTCACACGTAGTGGAAGGAAATAACTCCTGAAAGTTGTCCTCTGACTCCGTTTCATGTTTCTCTCTCTCTCTCTCTCTCTCTCTCTCTCTCTCTCTCTC